TCATTAATCTGACATATCAGGATGTGGTAGCGGCCTTGCGGGTCTGCTATTTCCGTGATGGTACGGAAGGAGAGAGAATCATGGAGAGAGAATCATGGCCGTGATGACTCCGTTCTTCTTTTTGGAGTTGTTTGCCATAAATATGTGGGAGTAACGGTGGAGATATAGGGTGGGTATTTTCCCTATAGCAAAATGAGTCTCTTGTATGAGAAGTACATCGGCTTGGGATTTGCGGGTTTCTTTGGAGAGTAGCGACCTCTTGAAGGGGGAATTCAGGCCTCTAACATTGAGGGAGGTAATATTAATCATTAGTACGCGATTTATTGAGATATAGTATTGGTAGAGTTATTCCTTGAGAGAATCGAAATTTAAGAGTCTCTTTGAGAAGGAAAATAGTAATGTGGTTGCGGTATAGGTCCGACTCGGTTACGGATGCAGGGGGAGTATTCTTTGTTGATTCAAGATTTTCTTGTTTAAAGGCATAGGAGTATAGTTGGTGGTGCCATGGTAAAAGGGAGGTAGGTACAAAAAAGAGAGTAAAAACATACTTGCAAAAAACGCAAGTAAACTGAGTACATTGCTACTTCAGAACTGGGGAGCTTGAACTGGCTTTGACCACCAAAAATGGTCAAGCCGACCGTAAGCGGGTAGGGTGAACATCATCGGGTCTAGGCCGATCGCCAGATATTTGTGTCTTGAGAAGAGACCTCTGGGGGGAGTGCATAGGTGTGCCTACACATGGGGTGAGCCGCGTAGTCAGCTATGTTGCCTCCATATGATGAGCGGAGTCAGGTGTAGCGTCCTGCCCGTCTGCAGGGAGGATGTTCCAGGCTTTGAGCAAGTCTAAGCCTGCTTCTAGGGTTTTGACGGTGAAAGTTCTGCCTTGTCGCCGAACTAGTAATTTTGTGGGGAAGCCCCATTGATTGGCAATGCCATGGTTTCTAAAGGCTTTGGTAATGGAGATCAATTTTTTCCTGTTTAGTAGCGTGGCTCTGGATAAGTCCGCATATAAACGGAGATTTGCGTGTGACGGCGGGAGAGATGGTGGGTTCCTGGCTGCTATCATAATTTTTTCCTTGGTGTGGTAAAAGTGTATGCGGGTTAAACATCATCTCTTGGAATGGATGACGACAGGATTGGCGGCTTAGGTAGTCAATGGGCACGATCGATCGCAAGCTCAATGTCAGAGAGAGACGGGAGGAGGAGTTTGAGGTATTGTTGCAGGAAAGGCAGCAATAACTCGTTAGTAACTGATTCCGGGATCCCTCTGAATTTAATGTTATTGCGACGTGAGCGGTCTTCTAAGTCGGCCAGTTTTAAGTTAAGTTGTTCGATGTCAGACGTATGTTCCGCGTGAGCGTCAATCAAATCATTATGTGCCGTTATTATGTCTCCCATGTTGCCTTCAATATGGCGCATTCTACGTTCCTGCCTTTGTATTGCGGTGGACATTTGATTCAGTGATGTAAAAATGTCGTCATGCAAGGTTTGTCTTAGCGAAGTCAGCAAGTTTTTCATAGAGACTTCTGTTAATGGTTGATCAATTGCAGGGAAGGCATCTATATTTGGCAGTGCCGTAGGAGGCAGTTGTGGTGGGTTAATTAGAGTCCGGCAGAAGGAGTCAGGGTCTCGGTCAAGTCGTGGCCGGGATTTGGCTGGGCTGCTAAGTGTAGGGGACAGTGGAGGTGACAACTCACCAGGGTCCCCTGGGGTATAGCTGGAACTGCAGCCTGGGATCTCCTTGCTGGGACCTGTAGTCCTCTTCGTGGCCGCTGCTAGTGTCCTGTGTGCTGCTGCGGGCGCCATCTTGGATTTCGTGCAGGAGAGCAGGGAAGAATTTGGTGAGTTTCCCCGGCTGCTCCGGGGTTTTTTTTCCTCCGGGGCATAGCTGATGAGGTGCGGGCACAGGACGGAGAGGTAATGGAGCGGGTGTTTCCCCCCAAGGTCGGTGAGTGCCGGTGTTTTACTGGCGGGCGGACGGAGCGGTGCTCAATGCACTTCCATCCGATCGCCGGCTGCGCATGCGACCTCCACTGTCAAGCTTTAAATGACATGCAACACTGTATCCAAATAAAATGTTTATTTTTTTTTCACACAATTTTGCAAATAAATAATCTTTCTTCATAAATTTAGGCCAAAGTGTATTCTGCTACATTTTTTGGGGTAAAAATAACTCAAAATGTTGTCATATATTACACGGATGAGGAGTGATAATCATAATTATTATTGTTGATGAAGAGTTTGAAGAGTTGAAGAGTTTGCTAGCTGATATGGAATGCAAAACTCCTCTATCCAAGAAATTAATTAAATTGAGTCCTAGCACAGAGTCCACAGAGTATTTGCAAATAATACAATGTTCAGAAGCCTTCAACATACCCAATCCTGCTCTGATGATGCAGCCAAAATACCCTTTCCTAATATACACCTTTTCCCCATTGACCAAAGTTTCAAGCAATCTGATTGGTTGGTTTTATGAGCATCTTTGATCTTATGTGTTACAATGTGTCTTGGTCAAGAACAGCAGCATGCATAAATTTTAATTAAAAAGTTAAATAGATACTCTTTTCTTGCTTATGGTAAAACTGCAATCTTTAACATCCTTGCACAAAGGTGGACAAGATACCAGCTTTGAAATTCTCTTCACTATAAACAAGTACACTATGAATATTTAAGATGGCTTAAACCCATTAGCCATATACTGTACTTCTCATATTGTTTAATGAAAAATTGCATTTTTTACCCTTCTTGCATAAGTAAAGACTCCATCCCTTTAAAAACGCTATTTCTCATAAAAAAGGGCCCCATGAATGCTTAATCAAACCTAATCAGACAAATTTGCATTTTACAATGCTGGTAGATTTGCAAATATAAAGGAAACAAATAACCTGCTCTGAAACTTCCCCTGACTTTCCACATATTTATCCAAAAACAGGTTAGCCCAAAATAACAAAGGTTAGGCAATTACCTCTTGCATAAATTAACATTGTAAGGAGTCCATATTCTATCCATTTGATATGAAAAATGCAGTTTGTGTGGTCAACTATGTGTGCCAACTTCACATACATGCATTTATATACAGTACAATAGATACAATTTACTCATATTTTATATATCAAGTTATTTCTATGATACACACATCTACATATTTATATGTCTACACAAAACAGTGTATTAGTACTTAGTCTGTGTGAAAGTTAGAGTCTACAAACTATGGGATATATCTGAAAACTGATCAGTTGAGATCCTAAAATGCTAGCATATGGGGTGATCAGGACACTGGTATGGGGTATGGCAGTGATCAGGGCTCTGGTATGGCGATGATCAGTATGCTGGTATGGAGTATGGAAGTGATCTGGGAGCTGGTATGGGTGTATGGCGGCGATCAGGGCACTGGTATGGTATAGGTCAGTGATCAGGGCACTGGTATGGTGTAGGGCAGTGATCAGGGCACTGGTATGGTGTAGGATGGTGATCAGGATGCTGGTATGGGGTATGACGGTGATCAAGGAGCTGATATGGTGTATGGCGGTGATCAGGGCACTGGTATAGTGTAGAGCAGTGATCAGGTATTGGGTATGGTGGTGAACAGAATGCTTGTATGCTGTATGGCAGTAAGAAGGGCACTGGTATGGTGTATGGCGGTGGTCTGGGTGCTGGTATGGGGTATGGCAGTAATCAGCATGCTGGTATGGGGTATGGCAATGATCAAGGCACTAGTATGGTGTATGACAGTGATCAGGACCCTGGTATAGTGTATGGTGGTGATCAGGATGCCTGTATGGCATATGGCGGTGATCATGGCACTGCTTCCCGTCAGCCCTCTATAGGCAATGGGCAGATGGGAATTGGTTAATCCCAGTGGCAGTGTCTGTCTAGGCCAGTCACTCTCACTCAGATTGATTAGGCAGCTTCTGGGACCTCTTTGCACAATAATCCAGCCCCTGGTCTATACTGGTCTATGTCCTCCCATGTCATGTATAATGTCATGTATAATATAGGGGTCCTCCCCCATGTCTCCCCATCCATGGCAGTGACAATGTGACAGGGCAGAGGAGGTGTCAGATGTGAGCAGATCTCACATGTCTGGTAGGTGGATGGCTCACCATGGGGAGAAGGAGAGCTGGAGCTGCAATGAGGGAGACATCCAACAATACAAAGACAGTAAAGCAGACAATTCAATGTCGGGGGCTCTGGATGGCATTGGAACTAATCTGAAGTTTGTTGGAAATCTGGATCTTCTTGATAGGATGACTGCAGCCCTGCATAGGATACACTATATAAGGTTGACATTGCATGTTTATTATTCATGATGAAGAACTGCACAGATGGAAAAAATCAATGTCACCATAAAATAAAGTAGATTTCATGTGGTCTTACTTGTTGTAAAAGGGGCAGTTAACTATTTGATGAATATAATATTTTTTTAAATTTACATATATGAATATACTGATATATATAACTTTTGTGATATATATATATATATATATATATATATATATATATATATATTTAATTAATTTTTTTTTTCATTCATGACATGGTTTTGATGATTGTTTCAGTTTGTAAGTGTCTACCTGATTAGTAATTAAAGCCATCATCATCAGCATTTAGACAAATTTGTATGTGAATGGGTGTTCACAGTTAATCTAGCATGATATTATAATTGTGATATAAGCTTTACTAAGTAAACTAAACGTGAAAGGGCATCAAATCCTTGTATGTAACATGACCGTGACAAATGCAAAACAAGTCTCAGGAAACATCTTGTACTTTAGTGATGACAGAAGTAGCTGCTATGACAAGTGTAAAACTGTGAGGAGAAATAGGAAGGTCTGATAATGCTCTTTTTCTGCTTTATGCCAAGCAGTGACCAAATAAAGTAGGAGGGATCATCTTTGTACAAGAGAGTTGTCAGGGTATAAAGGGTCTAATCTCAGACTTAGTCTCAGATATTTGGTTGGGAATTTTTCTAAAATACCCTGTAGCCAATAATCTCAGTCATGAAGATCACACTAGCATTCCTTCTTCTGGGCACCTGTCTTGGTAAGATAAGTGATTGCTATATCTTTAAGAATAATTCTGCAGAATTAATGTTCATTACAATTTATGTGTTTTATATGAAACATTTTTTTTGTTAACTACCAATATTATAACAGGCAGTAACCTCAACAATATATTATACTGTCAAGAGTATCTTAAAAAAAAATAGTATTTGATTATTACTGTTACTATTATTATTCGTTTTTTATTACTCATGTGTTTCTTCTTTAAAGAAAAATAAAATAATTTCTAAGAATTTAGTTAAGATATATGATAAACTAGCCTTTATAGCTCTTTAAAATTAAATTGTGGGCAAATTTAAACTAGTAAAGTAAAGCTGGACATACACTGATATTTTTCAGACTGTATACAGCTTGTAGTAAGAAGAATTCTCTGTTAAGGTTGTTGTATTTTGACAGCCAGCCCCACCATTTGTCAAATTACCCCAACAGCAGCTGCAAAGATTTCCAGTGAAGGCACAGTTTAAGATTGCTAGGAGATAGCGTACATCATAATATTTTGTTTTCAGCCCATACTTTTTGTATTAAGATTTATTGCAGTAGTCATACTTAAAGCTGTTTTCTTTTAGTATATCAGATTAGTAATCAGAGTCTATTTCACAATTCAGCAATTGGTCTACTTATTTGGCAAAAATTTGGCAAATATATATACACTATATTTCCAAAAGTATTGGGACGCCTGCCTTTACACGCACATGAACTTTAATGGCATCCCAGTCTTAGTCCGTAGGGTTCAATATTGAGCTGGCCCACCATTTGCAGCTATAACAACTTCAACTCTTCTGGGAAGGCTGTCCACAAGGTTTAGGAGTGTGTCTATGGGAATGTTTGACCATTCTTCCAGAAGCACATTTGTGAGGTCAGGCACTGATGTCGGTCGAGAAGGCCTGACTTGCAGTTTCCGCTGGCTTGTGTGCTTAATATCCCAAGGCTGCTTAGTGTTCCTAGTTCCGTATTATCTGTGGCTGTCCGAGTGTTTTAAAAGATAACTGCACTTTCATGTTGGTATCCTTTCATCCCCCCCTCCACCTTTTCACCATCCCCAAAATCTTATACTTAGCTGTTCATATACCTGCCAGGTCCATGCCCTCAAGAAGCAACAGAGCTGATGTTCCACATGCTCCTGGATAAATCTGTATGTCTTTTGCACTTGCACCAAACGTTCCATAATTCCTAAAGAGAGGTTATCTTGCCTCCAATCGGTAGAAGGCCTCTCTGTAGGAATAAATTAGATCTTTTAATGCATGCATGCATGGCTGAAGTGTGGGACTAGCAGAGAGTGATTGCAGTGGGGGTTGTGTGACATCATGTGGGGTGATCTGACAGGAGCATGCAGGAGTATGGTCTGGTGGGCTTAAAATGCATGGATATGGGGGGGATGTAAATTAAAGTATAACTTTATAAAAGCAAAAGTATGAATTCATTTCACCAAGTGTGCAAACTAGACTAGTTACAGATGCACCTATTTTGCTGTTTGCTTTATTTTTGTTAGCTCAAGAGTTAACTGCAATGCATACTGCAATATATACTGACAACCACATCATAGGAATTATCAGTTATCTTAGTGAACATTTTCTCATGCTAATCTGCTTTCTCCAAATTGTTCAGAAAACTCTAAAGACAATAACAAAGTTCTCTGAATGAAAGCTGTGAGAGTGTTTACTGTATTTAGCATTGAGTAACCTTATGGTACCCTCTAAAAGCATGTTACAGTGCAACATAATTATTCTTCATCACCATTATTATATCTTACTAACTTTCACTGTATGTTGAAATTAAAGATGGGTAATGGGCTGATATAAAAAATTGCAATTGAAACATAAGGCTTACCATTGCAAATGCGAAGATGTTTTTTTTTTAAGTCTTCTATATTTAAAACCAAACTTTAGTTATTTTTGTTAGTTTTGGTAGTGTGTGGAAGAGGTACAGTCTTCCAAGTTTGTATTGCTTTCTCTACCCCCATTGTAAGAATGAGTTTACTGTCTCATTGACAGATGTCAGACTAAACAAGTTAATTAAATTTCATCAGTTCCTACCTATTTGACAGGTAATGAAGAAATCAGGAAGTGAGGAGTAATTCTTCCATTGTGATACAGTCAACAAGAAAAAAATAGATTGGAGAAGTCTTAGCACATCAGGATTTTATTGCTGTCTGCGTGCCCATAAGGGAGATTTCCTCTCATTTCCTGTCCATGTGATAAGTGTCAGAACTAGAAGAGAGTAAAAATCTTCTGAATGAGGATAAAAACAGCATATTAAAAAAATTATCATCAATGTGGACATAGACAGTGCTTAAAACACAAAAGAAATATGAACCCTTCCCTACTCTATACAAAAATAAAAAGATTTTGATGGAATTGGACCTCATTATTCACCTCCTACACAATCTTTATGCTGGTCATTCAGCAGGTATTAGCCATGCTATAATACCTAAGGACAGACTAAAAATGAAGCAAAGCTAAATCAGGTGAAGCTAGTCAACCTGACATAAAAATAAATTGCTGATTGAATGTATTTTATTGAATGTAATTTTTTAATATATGCCATTGTCACTGTGGCTCCACAAGATCGTACTGCTCCAGTTTCTAAAATAGTGCTTTTTGCCTATTATTGTAGTTTTTAGCGATGCAAGATCCGTCCCGAAAAAACCTGTGCATGTAAGTAATGTTTTTTTTTATAGATAATTGACAATTGTTTTTTTTAAAATCTTCTAGAAAAAAAGGCTATATTTCATTGTTTTTACTGTTCTTTAGGAAATTGAATCATTTTCTCATGCACGTATGTTGTCCGGACCATTAACCAGGTGGCGTGAATTGCAGGTAATGTAAGAAATTAAAAAAATTTTGATATACTAGGTTTAGTGTTTCCATTTATAGAAGAAAGTGTGCTTTACCTACACTGTGATGACAATGTATCTAAACTTCCATAAAGTGTTTATGGATCTATCCACCCAAAATCAGTTTTTGGAGTAGGATAGTAGTTTGTTTCAATCAGCAGACTCCTATATATTTCAAGATTTACTATGATAAAATATTTGATTGCCAAGGATTGTTGGGAACTACAGAGTAAAACACATAGTAAAACACATACACTGTAACTGAAGGGTCATTTTTGATAAGTTGGACCTATGATTAGGGATAGGATTTGGGTTTCAGCACTACCATGGATTCAAGAAGAATCCTGTGGGTTCAAGATTCACAGTCCTGATGACCCTAATATTAAGGGCATTTCTTGTCTTTCATTTTTTTGTGGTTAAGTTGAGGTCAACAGTCACTTTTAGCTGCTGTCCAGTCCATAGAAATCTTTTTTTCTGTAAGACTTCCTTAAAAAAAAAAAGCTGTTTTCCTTCATGAAAGGTATTTGGGGGGGGGGGGGGTCATTTACATTTGTGTATTTTTAATGTTGCTCTCAAAGACAAATGAAAAGATAATTTCCCCACTGTTCTGTTTTTTTGTTTTTTTTTTTTTGCATTTTTTTTCCATAGGTAGGCATCCCTATGGCAGTGCCCAGCTTTCCATACCACACAGTTCCGTGGAGGCAGCCTTCTTTGTAAAGGATCAGAACTTTGCCAGATATGATGCCCTCATGACCTTTGATCTGTAGAGCACAGATCTTGGAAATGAGAGATTTTTGTACCGCAGGGAGATCCCTGTACCACTGGTCCACAGGTACAGCTTCCTCCACAACACAGAGAACAGTGAACAGCACATTGGTGGTATCACAAAATCTCCACAATGTGATTTTAACAAACATTTTCCTATAAGACAATACAGTATGTGCATGTTTTTATGCATGTTATTTATCAGTAAAAGTCTCCTTTGCATAGACATCCAAAAAACCTGAGGTTGATGCTAGACCTGCCATCTTAGATACAATGTCAGCAACCCCAGCAGACTTGTAACTGCCATTTAGGTGGCACTGTATGGCATTCCCCTTCACTGCTCTCTTTGGCAGCTACATAAAAGGTTAAATTGGGATGTGAGGGAAGGGGCGGAGAAGCTGGATAAGCACAGAGAGTAGTTAGACACTCCATTAGAGGGTAGAACATGCAATGAGAGAGGGGGCTCACCCGAAGTAGTCAAATTTTCCAGCATGTTTAAAAGGCACATTACAAATAAACTAGCATTATTTATGGAAAGGAAAAACACTCTAAGCAATTATAGTATTTGATCTTATTACTTTTAGAATTACTTTGTGTTTTCATGTTTGAGTTTTTTAATTCAAGTAAGCCAATGAAATGTTTGTCTGAATATAATGTTATACATTCTTTATTCTCAGGGATGTGACCACAGGTGTACTCCCGTTGAAAGGAGCTGCAAGTTGAGAGCCATAATAGCAGATTGCTTCCTCCTTTTGGTATTGATATCTCTAAATATCTCAGAAGAGTAGCCAATAATGTTATTTATGTTTTCAGCAAAAGGCATAGCAGAGTAGTTTAAAGTTGGTAGTAACGTTTTCTTTTCTTTCTTTCTTTTCTTTCTTCTTTTTCTTTCTTTCTTTCTTTTTCTTTCTTTCTTTCTTTCTTTCTTTCTTTCCTTCTTTCTTTCCATATCTACTGTAGAAATTAAAATGTTTTATTACCACATAGACCATTTAAACTGGCTGTCTTAAATAAAATTACTTTTATTTCTTGTTTTTAAGAATGTTATATCAAATGACCTTGGAGTTGGAGTAAAAAAACTTCTATCCATGGTAAGATAATTATAACCTAACTGCAGAATATTAAATCCTTTAAAGATATCTGTCTACTATCACAAATACAATAGCACAAATTACAGTAAATAGAACTTCAATCTTGTAATAGATTACAGCTCTAATTTGTCAGTTAGTCTTTATTGTTCGGTAAAATAGCATAAATAAAATATTATTACTTATCTGGAGCTGTATATTATAAGAGCATTGATAAAATGAAGGATGTTTTCATACTAATTATTGTCAAAAGTTATAGAAGTAAGTATGCAAACAAGTGAGCAAGGTATCTAATATACTAATCAGATTGCCTATTCCTGACCTGCACGCTTTCAGCTTCGATGGATAACTTTCCCACTGTGGGTATTGTATTCTGATGGCCAGCACCAGCAGCTGTCAGAATACCCAAACAGTGCCTGCATCTAATCAGATGCAGCCACTGTTCAGCAGTCAAATTTTCCATCTAGCTTCTTTGATATTAGAGTGGAGTAGGAGGGTGGTGACAGGGAAACCCATGTAGCAAATTGTGTCTGGTTCATCAGGAACTGGCTGAAATTTGCATAGAGTATGACCAGCTAAAGTATGTTAAAATGGTATTAAATCCAAAAACAAAAATGTTATATATTGCTACATATCAATCCTTAGATGTGCTGACTGCATTAGTTTTAATTTGTTCCGCATTATTTCACTTGGTGATCTGGCCAGTAAACACACATTCCGTCTTAGGGAGTCTCTATTCTGGATCAATCAATCATTATAGCACATACTTTTGGACAACAGCAGTCTGGGAGGGTAAGGTTAGACTAGTAGATTTAGATGGGCTTGAATAACAAATTTAAGCTAAATTCTGGCTAACACTTTATAAGCAGTTACTGCAAATTGTTCTTTCCTTTTAGGATAAAGATATGACATAAATGAATAAAAGATGATATTTTAAGCACCCCTGTCCATAGTAAATGGTTTGTCTTTGACCCTGTAACTGCTACTGCTGGACAGCTTGGTCTGTTAAAATAACAGACTTACTGACTGGATGACCTGGTAAAAATAAAGTAAAAAAAGCCTAAAAAAATAAGACTAATGGAGCCACCACATTTAAGAAGTGGTAGGCTTAAGTTATTACTTTTTTTTTGTTTTTGGGTTTAATACCATTTTAGGTGTCCGTTTGTGAACCAGCGGTAATAGATCGCTGCTCAGTTCTCCGGCATTCTCGGAGAACACAGTTCTCCTGTGAATGCAGTTTATGAAGCAGTTCTCCGAACGAAGGGAGAACGGTCTCCAAACGCTGGAGAACGGTCTACAAACTCTGAGAAAAAAAACGGCTCATTTTACTATAATCTCTCGAGATTATAGTAAAAGATCAGTTTACTAAGCAGAGGTAAACTATCTCTGCTTAGTTTTTCGGTCCCTCTGATTCTCCAGCTCTGGGCTGGAGAATCTGGAGGGAGAACACAGATCTCCAGAGAAGGGCTGACATGATCTCCTGAGTGTTATAAACTGTGAATGACCAGAGAATAGCTGAGATCCGTTGAATCGCAGCTATTCTCTGTGTCATAAAAGGACACCTAAGTCTGAGATGAGATCACCCACATTTGGAAATGAACAAAGAGCTATTTTGGACATTGGATGTGCTCCTTAGAGCGTCAGATTCAATGTTTCAGCTTTACAAATTTAGTGCAGTGGAAAGGAATACTTAAAACTTTATATTCATTAATTTAATATTTTGCTTGGTGATTAACCCAGCATGGTCACGTGGGATGCGGGAGTCTTCATCCCTGTGTAAGATCCCATTGGAGGGACTCAGAATTTAGACAAGGCTGTTTTTTTTCCTGTGGAGGAGCAAATAAGTATGCTCAGTTAGGGAGGGCAATTTAGAGACAATGCATGCATTGCCCTGACTGTGCAAATATACACTACATACAACAGCTGCAGAATTAGCCATTTTGATAATTGCATCTGTTTAATCTGATTCTTTTCAGAAAACTGATCTAAAGATCACTATTTTGATTGATTATTTGGGGGTAAGTTGGAAATATTTTTGCATGTTTTAGTTTTGGTGCTTCTGCAATGGTTTTGGGGAGCTTAGCAATATTGCCATAGCATATATGTCCATTTATTTAAAAATAATGTTTATGCTTTGACAGTTATTATTATAAAAGTGTGGATTGGTTTAGTAATAATTATCTGTGGCCTGCATATGGCAGCCCCCATAAAAATAATGTTGATACTGAAATTTTATAGAAACTATAATAATTGTATTATATAAACATTCCTGTCGCTACTCTTTGAAATACATAAAGAGTATATTCTCCTATATGATCAGAAGACTATAACTTGGATATTTCAGAGTACTAAAGCAATGCTCAATGCTATGATAAACCGCACCAACCAGTGCAGCATGGCAAACCATCAATGGTAAAACCTCCATTTAATTTTGACAACCAGGTGTAATTAGTTTACAATGGTTTTGTCAAAAATGTACCTGTCCTTCACAGTCTGTGTTACTCAATGTGTGACTAAACGTACCTACATTATACAGGAAAATGCACCCTTTTTTAATTAATAGTATGGGAAGTCTTGAAAGATACCATAAATGAAAAAGGGGCTTTAAAGATGACCACCAGGTAAGTACTCCAAAATATAAAATTCACAATTTTTATTACACAAAGGTTAAAAATTTGACATGTGCATATAAAAGTTAAACATTAAAATATAACATATAATGCTATGTCTACACGTTTCACAGGCTGTCCACTTCCTCAGGACTATATCCAGGAATGCGCGCCTATTGTGCCCTTATCATAGTCCATAATCAAATGCAAACATTTCTGGAAAAAATGTGTTTATGATAACACAATTACAAAATGACATAATATTCAATACACCAAATAAGCTGTATCTAAAAAGTCTCCACATAGTGACAAAAATATATTTTTGTCTGTCCAAAGAGGAGATAAAAACCAAGGCAAAAAACAAACATAACATAATGAATACAATGCTCACCAGAGAAACCAGGTAAACTGGCTATGTCGTTCTAGACTGCAGGGAGGTTAAGAGGTAAACAGCAAGGAGGAACCAGGAAGTCTTTCTGTCTATACTGTCTTTGAATTCAGTATATTCTAGCTTACTGGTCCTTAAATGTGGTGGCTATATTCATTTTGGTTTTCAAGTTTCTTCCATATATTTTTACCTGGTGATCCTGCCAGTAACTCACTTCCTGTCTGAAAATGCTTACTCTTTCTGTACATCTGTGAGGGACCAACAATGTCTACCATTCAGCCTGCTCCATGTGAAATACCTGATGTACCTGCCAGTCCTTCTGCTTTCCTATTAAAAAACTGACCACACTAGGCAGGAGAGCACAGAATGGCAAGTGTTCTAGCTTTGCTAGAACTCAGCCTGCTCACCTCCAATGATCAGTCTTGTCCCCCCCCCGCCACACAGTCCATTTACAGGGAATTTCAGCATGCTTTAGTTTCTTTCTTGAGCTCCTTATGTAGCTGAGGACAAAGGGTATATGATCACTTTTAAAAAGGGGAAAAAATTTATTTATAATGTTTTTATATGTATACACAAATATTTTGCCTTTCATTTCTATTTTAAACTGAATGGATTGTTTTACAAGGTGGGAGTTTACATATACTCTTATATTATTATTCTGTGGAATATTATACTTCTGGATTGTTTAGCAATTTGTAAAGTACCTCAAAAGATGCAATGGGGTTGATTTACTAACACTGGAGAGTGCAAAATCTGGTTCAGCTGCACATGGTAGCCAATCAACTTCTAATCTCAGCTTGTTCAATAATGCTTTGAAAAAAAAAAAACTGGAAGCTGATTGGTTTCTATGCAGAGCTGCACCAGATTTTTTTGTACTCTCCAGTTTTAGTGAATCAACCCCAGTGAATAACATTTTAAAGTTCTTTACTGTGCAATACTAGTCTACAATTTTCATCATTCCAGCAAAACACTATTAATAAAAAGACTCCAAACTGATAAATAAAACACTTGATTATGAATTTACAGATATAGGTTCAAATGATGATTTTTAATATAGTTATTTTCTTTATTTCAGACAAATGACTACGAATCATATGCTAATCATGTGGAAAAGACCGGTTCATTAAACAGTTTCATGCAAATGATGTGTGTTGTAACAGTAAGTCAAATGTTTCTTGTTTTAAAGTCTGAAATGTTTTTAATCGATATAAAAGAAATTCTGTATATTAAGTGGATTTAGATATTTTAGAAAAATGGAAACACTTAAAATTCTTCCTGCACATCATAATCCATTATTCACTCTGTCAGATTAAGTCTTTCATTTACATTTCTAATCAGTGCTTTGTTTGGTAAATATTTGCTTGGCCTAGCCTAATAAACTGATAAAAGGTGGTCCAATGGTCCACTCATCAGTTCATTATAAAGTAGAGCAGCAGCAGACCCCCTAGCATTTTCCTAGTTGGATTTAAGGAGTATATGGTTTTTAAAGTCTATGTCCAGGCATTAACCAAATGCATCCCAAAGCCTCCCTCTCCCATTAAAGTACATGCCCCAGTATTGTTCTCTTTTACTTCTGGCAAGAAACAGATTTATTCACCCCCATGGTATCATCACTAAACTTATAAAAGTGTAAAATGTTTGCAGGGGCAGCTGCTGAAAGGTCTGTTCCTCTGGACATTGGCATACCCACATACCTACATTTTCCAAGAGCTCCTTTTTCTCATTTGGTTTTTGGGCAGGATTTTTGGGGTTATGTCAGCCAACTCGCTCCATGATATTAACAACCAAAAACAAAATAGCTTTCTGTTTGGAGGGGCCCACTGCCCCCTTTGGTAGTCCAGGGCAAACTGGTAAATGGTCCTTTAAATTCAGTGATGCAAATCATTGTTTAATGGAAAACCCAGTTTGAAGTTGCGCAGCTGGATTGTTACTGTTCTGACTCACACAGTTAAATTCACTTATATCTATAAACACTTACGTTCTAGAGACAAGGGTTATTTGTCCCACACACACACAAAACCCTGTGAAAAATAAAACTACCCCATCAAAGTATATATATAGACTCACACACAGTTTAGAGTGAACTGATATTTTAATTGTATTGAGGTCAAATGAGAGCACAAAAGAGCAAAAAGAAAAATAATGTGTGCATGAAGTAAAAGCTATCACTCTTAACAACTTCAAGTAAAGGTCAACACACAGCAAAATCTTAATACATTCTAGATATCCTGCGATTCAGAATTGAGCTGGTAGCCCCAGTCCTGAGAAGTTTCTTCCCCAGTGAGTAGAGAAACTACCAGAGTGGTTAGCTCACTTTAGGTTCCCATGCGCTGATAACTGTGCTTAATTCTGAAGCAAAGAAAGAGCTCTTGGACTGAATAGGTCAATGTCCCTTTAAACTGCAGTATAAGGTCTTCTGCATGCTTGATGGAGCCCGAGTTGGTGCATTCAAATCTCTCTGGAAGAAAAGGTAGAAGTTCCTTAATAAAGAGTGAATACAAAGGAAAAGAGCTGCCCCTTTAAGAGGTTTTCAGCTTGGACGATACCCCTTTAACACATACAGGATGACATGTAAATTAAGGCAGGGGATTTAAAGAATGGGCAAAAGCACATTTCTGTAGGGATTAATTCCTCTTTGGACCACAGTGGAAAACTGCAGCAATGAAGGAGCTCCTTGATGAATGTGGGCCAACTGCGATGGAAGCAATAATGTGGCTTGACCTGCAGAGGTGCAGTAGGTATGACACTGCAGTAACTAGGCTCTTATGACTGGCTTGATTATGCTGAGGGTAGACAGGTAGCTGATGGTCTCTCTGTAGCTGGGGGCCCCCAGTGTTCTTGCAATTCCTCACTCAGCGATCACTCTGGACAGCAGCACTCCGCCCTGCAGGGTAGTTCACCAGACTTATCAGTACTGTCAGTAGTTAGCAATTCCTCCTCCTTCCTCCACTTTCTCTGTGGCCTGGCCCAGTCCTCCAGTGTCCCACGCAGCCTCCTCCTCACACCTGCTCGCCAGCTCTCACTGCTCACTTCCTGTCCTCAGGTTCACGGGTTCTGTATTTATTTTCCTCTGCCAGCTCCTCTGGGAAATGTAGTTTGTTAGCTCTCTGTCACACAGCAAAGTCCTGCAGTCAGCCTATGAATTCCACAAACCTTTTCATCAGAGTCTGTGCAACTGGGCTGCAGGACACTGCCATCTTGTGTCCATTTAACATCCTGCAACCAGTATTGCAGCAGGGTGTTAAACGTGTAGCAAAAGTAGTAGCAGTAGCATTAGCTTAGGAGAGAGTTGTTGTTATATGGAATTTAATAAACAATGTGGGATCATATGAGTATTTATTTGTAATTATAATTGCATATATCACTTGTTTTCCAATTCTTTTTATTTATTTTATTTTTTTTGCAGAAAGGTTCTACAGATGAAGCAGGAATGGATTTAGGAAGTGTTTTAAATAATGTTATGGTAAGAAATAATTTTTAGATATACAATCAGTTTGGCCCTAGTATAGTATATGTATGTACAGTATGAATATGAATTAAAGACTTTAGATTGTTAAGCTCCCTAAGGGCAGTTACCGATGTGAATGCACAATGCATAATTGTCAACGCTATAATAATACCTGTGATAAATATATACTAAATAAACAAAATAAATAATAACAATATTTTGTAAGGCTAAAGTAAATGCTTTAAAAATTACACTACTTTTGGCAGCCGCAAAAATGCATTAGCTTTCCGGGGTGTACGCCATTTGGCGTCCTCCCGCACATGCGCATTTCGCGCGGTTGCAGAGCCGCGCAGCGGCGCGATCTATCACCGGCCGTCACAGCAGGTCACATGACAGTTGTATACAATGGATGGCTTCATTCATGCCATCCATTGTATACTAGTGTCTAGCTGTGAATGGTCACAGCAGGTCACATGCACATGTCATGTGATTAGCTGTGGCCAAATCACAGCTAAGCACAAAAGAAGAAAAAAAAAAAAACCTGAATGAATCAATGTCATTCAGGTAAATGCTTGCTTATAGCAAAGTAATTCTTTGCTATAAGCAAATTATGTAAAAAAAAAATAAAAAAATACTGATCACTTCCCCAAAGTAGTACAATGTTACTATGGTAACATTGTACTACTTTGGTAATAGTAAAATCTTAAAAAAAAATCTTAAAAAAAAAAAAATGTAATAAAAAATTAAAAATAATAAAAAAAAAATAAAAAAAATAAAAAATAAAATATATATATATATTTTTTCATACTGTCACCAGTCAGTGTCCCTGTTCACCGCCATGCCAGTTATATGATAATGCTGTACTTCACTGGTGACAGTATGTAAAAAAAAAATAATTTTTTTTATTTTTTAATTTTCCGAAAAGCTATGACACAAAAATAAAACTTCAAAAAACTCGCCATTCCTCTTATGAAGTACATCGGGCTGTCTACTTTACAAAAAGGGGTCATTTGGGAGATATCTGTACTGTTCTGACATTCTTGGACCTCAAGAAATTAGATTGGCTGTCAGTACTTCAGGATTGATCAATTTTCAGATCTATACCATAGTTTGTGAACTCTATATCTTTCTTACAAACTAAATAATACATCCTAATTTGGGTTATTTTCACCAAAGACATGTAGCAGAATACATCTTGGCCTAAATTTATGAAGAACAATTATTTATTTGTAAACTTTTATAACAGAAACAAAGAAAAACTTGTTTTTTTTTCAAAATTTTGGTTTTTTTTTTGTTAATTTAGCAAAAAATAAAAACCACGGCGGTGATTAAATACCACCAAAAGAAAGCTCTAGTTGTGTGAAGAAAATGATAAAATTTTAGTTTGGGTACAATGTTGTATGACCGCGCAATTGTGATTCAAAGTGTGAGAGCGCTGAAACCTGAAAAATGGCCTGGGCAGGAAGGTGTAAAATTGCACGGTATTGAAATGGTTAAACAGAGGCATTTGTGTAAAAACATAGCACATAATATGCACTTCCTAGTACGAAACATCTTCAGTTTTTACCTGCAGTTTACCTCTTAGTTACCAATGAGTCCTATATGTGATTTTAGCTCTTGATCACTACATCCAGTTACCCAAATCACTTTTCCTGTTAAGTGAGCAATGGTTAAATCATAGCAGGGGGAATCAGGTGGCACTGTCCTACATTTTAACCAACTGTCAGTGCATGCTCACTGCGTGATTTGTCAGAGATTGGAGTTACCGCGCATAGGTGCACTCCAATTGAAATAATGAGTTTTGTAGTTTGCTGTTATAGAAATATGAAATGTACTGAAAATGGAGCATAGATTTCCATTTACTATTTTTGGTATAAAGACATGCTGGTGCTAATTGGGTCCTTTCTAATGTGCTGCATAAATTGTTGGCAGGCACTATATACATACCTGTAATTAATAAATAAATAATACATTTGATGTTAAAAATAAACATAGGTTTATTCTGTAAATTAATATAGCATGTCCCAAATGTCCCAAATAAAACATAGAACTACGTTCTGCACTCCTCTCTAAACCCAACTGCTGATCAGTGGGAATCCATAACTTAAAAAAATACTGTTGATTAACTACTTCAGGAAATACCTCATTAAGTACCTCCAAAATTACAACAGCTCACAGTTGCAAAGGAATACCTTGGTGCTTAACATTCCAGCTTCTGAAGGACAGTAAATTGAATTTGTTTTCAGTTCAGGCTCCTTTGCATCCCTGAGTGGTGTTGCTTTGGGGTTGCTCTGTGGTGCTATTCCAACAGCTGAACAGTGGGTTGTCCAAGTAGGGAGTGTTTTGATGATCACTGAAACCTCTGCATGGAAACCTTTTTTTTAAATCATTCCTTTTGATTTTCAAAACTGTGTAATAGATATAACATATTTTAAAATGTGTGATTCTTAAAGTGTTACTAAACCCAGGGCCCTGCATTCAATATATCTGATCTCCCACAGTACACAGAACATGGAAATGCAATTATTTCAGAAAATATAAACTGCCAAATACCTTTCCCATCAGCAATTAAAGCAGTCGTGTGACTTCTATCAGTGTTCAGCAGAGCATTGGTTAAAGCTTGTAGGAGGAGTTTTCTTTCTGCTCTAATAGGATGCAGAACCCCTGAC